CCACAGGAAAAAAGGAGATTTGGGAAAAAAACGAATTAGGGAACATTTTTTTTTAAGGAAGATGATAATTATATATAGTGTGGGTTCTATTCGGCGGACCATTTAAGGGAAAACCTGGGAAATTAGGGAGTGGGGAAACAGCACTGGTTTTTATCTTTGAGCAGAGCCTAGACTGGAGAGAACTTAATTAGTCATAAGCTAGACAATAAAGGTAAAGTTAATCAAGTAATTGGGTATGATAAAACTTAGTAAACCAGTCAGTAAACAGAAATAAGTCAATAAGTCGTAGTTCCAATTGGTAAATACCATGGTCAATACACAGATAAAATACAACTGGACAAATAGTAAATTAAAGCACATTGAGGGTGAAGGGAAGGTGGGAATCGAAATTGTAGGGAGGGCAGAAGGCGTTGGTGCGGATCGATCTTCTTGCGTGATGCCGTTTGATTTCGGGATGCTGAGGAGGCAAGCACTGTGGAGAGGAGACGGCGGGATGGGGGAACGTCCGCGCGCCAAGAAATAAAATAGTTAAAAATAAAACGTCGATAGATTTAGAATGTACTGCGGCTTCCTGACGTGGCAGGTTTTTCCCCTTCCAGGGTTTTTTCCTAGCCGTACCTTGTGGTCTCTTTTTCGCGGCTTTGGATGCGGTGGAATGGGGAGAATACAGAATTTGAAAGATTTAGAAACGCGAGGAAAGGATGTAGGTTATTGTAATGGCTTACAAGGCCTTCGACCTAGCCACATAGGATCAAGTAATCTAATTCGTTTGTAATAATTACCTATTAAATAAAATAAAATATTACGTTAGGGATCAAGATTTTTGGATTCAGGAAGGTAGAATAGGCAACATACTTAATTTTATACGTAAATTACAAATATCACAATAAAAACGTCATATTACGTCACAATTTTTAAATATACCGTATCTTTATACCGTATCATATTGTATTTTGCTATTAAAGAAAATACATTTAAATTGCACCTGTAAAACATGTAAAATCAATACGCATAAAATATATTTGTTCAGTTCAGCTACGACACTTTCATTAGATATCAACAAAATTAGGTTTTCGTATTTTTTTACCTGTTGTATTCGAAGATTGCCCTCTTTATTCTCGCGTCTGGTAGTCGCGTTCAATTGCGAGTAGGTCTTAGTGGCCTTATTGTTAGTGAATGTTTAGAAAACACGTCAGTGCCCCCTCGTGTTTCGTACTGCGCATCAGTTACCAGATGGAATTATTTTAGCTCCTCCTATCTTATCGTAAGAATACAAGTATGCAACTGTTGGGGTGGCGGATTCTGCGTCACGGATTCTGAGTCAGACGGTGGCATGCGGAACTGAACTCGCAGTGCGCGAGAAGTTCGTGTCTGGTATATTAATACATTACAGTTTTGTGGTTTTGATAAAGTGAAATTTTCCACATGATATGTAGAATGGAATTGGTTCGATAAAATGCTTATCGTTATTTCACATCCAAAGTTTGCGAAGTAACCCGATAACGTTACGTTTGTGAGAGATTTACACCCTAAGTACAAAGGAATAAAAAATTATGAAACTAGAAAACTTGCATATTCTTTATACTTTGGCTGTCATATTTGTGATTAGGACAAACCATGGCTCCTCAACAGTGCTGTGTCTCATGTACAACGAACCTAAGGTTGTGGTTGCATGGAAAACTCAAATAATTGTCATTCGCTCTACCATTGTTGTGGAGAATACCAACAAACCAATTCATGTCTGCAGGAATGCGCTTATTCTATTTATAACTTGTTCTTACCTCATATGATGCACGCTCAAAAAACATCATAGTAATATAACCAGAGTGACAATGCAGAAATTTATTAATAATTTTGTTTACTTCAAATATTAAATGTGTTCATATATTTTGAACCTAGCGCGAAAAAACATTTTATTATGATTTTCGAAATCATCATGATCGTTTCCTATAAAATCACCCACTTTCATTCTGGAGATTCCATGTGTTATTAGGGACCGGAGGAGAAATTGAGAAAATGTGGAAAATTGTCTTTTAGCAGCCAGTGTATGGCAGCTCAGAAGAGAATGGGGCAAAATCTAAAAGACAGCGGGGACTACAGAGATTAGCTGGATAACTATTACGAGATAATCGCTTACGTTCCTTTTATTTTAATTCAAGCATACAAATCATAAAGTTATACTAATTTCAGAAGTAGCTGCTGCGGTCAGACGAAATTATTTTGTTTTCTTCGTTGTATACACTGTCTTATCTGAACATTTGTGCATCGTCTCATTTTTAGGATTGTTGGTAAAAATGAACTTTAAGCACGCTTTGTATGCCCAAAAAGTAACCGCTTAGCTTTCTATGGGCTGTCTAACAAAATGTTTTTCTAGAAGCTTTGACGATCCGCCTGGCCAGTGGGAACCCCATACGAGCTAGAATATTATAGAGTGGCTGAAGCGCCTCCATCTTTGTAGCAAATTGAAACTATGTTTTTGCAGTCAAAGCAACGCCCCCTGGAGAAACAGAGTATTCTAGTATTCCCTTTTGCGCTGGTTACGGCCGGGCGGGCGCGGGTCGCGCGAAATATTCTCTTCTTCTGTGTTTCATGGCCAAAAATCAATAATTTAAAAGCAAAATCTTAACATGTAAGGAAAACGAATTGAGAAACTTTAAAAACACATTGGTTCCTGCAGGGAATATGGAACTGGTTATTCTCATAAGAGTGGAAGCTGTTGAAATGTTATCGTAACGGCTGAAAGTGTATGTTAATGTAATAAGAAACAGATCATATATTAAGGCGATAAAGTCGAAAAATTATGTATGTGTGGCTTGATGACTTCTATTTAATTATATACCAAACATACTGACGGCAATGTAAATACAGGGTTATTCAAAATGATTGTCGGGGTTTTGTGATTTTTTTAGAGACAATGGAAGTAAATACGATTATTATAGTTGCTGCGGTTGATTGACTAACTCTAAAAGTTTCGTTATGCAACGACTGTAGTTACCTCAGTTAACGTCAGATGGCAGTGTTTAAGAAAGGCGGTGAGCGGTAAGGAGGAAGCGTTTTGTGCTCTTCAACATTAATCCATAGTTCAGTATCCATCAATCCAGTATCATCAACATCCATCCATTACCATAGGCCAGTGTCATTTTCGAACGAAACACGGAAAGGACCGTCCTTTCGGCAACACTATTCGCAGATGGTACGCTCAATTTGTGGATACGGGCTGTTTGTGTAAAGGGCGAAGCAGTGGACGTCCCGCTGTGCCAGGAGCGGAAGTGAATCGGATCAGGGGAACTTATCTCCATCGTCCTAAACAATCGACTACGAGGGGCGGCGGGGAACTGATTACATAATGGTTGTTACCTCTAGACGACGGGGACGAATTTCTACTACAGGAGGATGGCTCTCCACTTTATTCCACTGGCACGTAAGAGCGTTAAACGAGCAACTTCCATAGAGAGACGAGCAACTAGAGCTCACGGCGTGTAATTTTTTCCTGTGGGGATATGTTAAATATCGAGTCTTTATCCCTCTTCTAGTGACGAATTTTCTGGAACTGACTCAGCGCATCAGATCCAGATTCCTAAACATCAGTGCTGAGATGTTGTAGCGTGTATGGGAAGAAACGGCGTATCGGGTGGATGTGCATAAGAGCGCCCTTTATGAGCTTTTGTAATTCACGTAAAAAGAAAAAAAAATTATGAGTTCCAGTTCACAATAAAATAAGTTTCATATTTCTAAGTCTATTATTCCGTGCATTATGACTTTTTGAAATCCCGACAATAATTTTGAATAACTTTGTATTATTATTCTCACCACTAACATAATTTAAATATCATCTGACCATTTGACTGCAGAAAACATGGTGGCCCCTAGCTCGGCGAGAGACAACCAAGAGAGCTGAAACCACAGGGTCAGCCACTCTATGTAGTATATTGTAAGCTAGTTGGTGAACCCCCTGGCATTGCTGGAGGCAACGCGGTGTGTGGTGTTGCTTTGTGTTGCAGGGAGGCGGCGCGCGCGTCGGCGGTGG